CATGTTCCCCCCCCCCCCCCCAAAAAAAAACTCTTATATTACTGTGAATTTGCTGTTGTGATATGTTTCTTGTTTTCACAATTACACTTTGCAATTTGATTATTGTGTATGTGCAGTGGTTACTTATTCTTTGAATTTTATTTCTCAAGTTCAAAAAACTTGCTGATGAAGTTCATATGCCAAAAATGAAGCTTGCTAGGGTACCAAGCTGGCTCTAATATGTCACTCCCTCGGTCCCTCCTTCCCTAATAAGAACTTCCTGCTTTTTCTTTTCGCTTGCCCCAAAAAAGTTCCCATTCCATCCAGGGAAAGGAGTGGTTCACATTTTTCCCTCTCCTTTGCATAAAATTCCATTTTTTCTAAAACTTCATGAAAAAGTAAACGAGAACTTCTTTTAGGGGGACGAAGAGAGTATCATCTTACCTAATTACAGGCATTAGAGTGACAACACTAAAATAATGTTGCCTGCTGTGATGTAGTTGCAATTAATGTGGTGGTGATGATGATCACCTTGTTTGGGAAAAATGTTTTCAATTAGCGTTTTGAATATTTTTTAATGGTGCATATCACCTTCGAAAATGCTGAAGTTAAATGATGCCATTAGGCGATCTTTTCAAAATGTTCAAGCTTAACATTGAAGTTTTTGCCATGCGGACACAATGACTCATTTTCCCTAATAAATATTTCTTTTATTACTCAGTGACCGGGAAAATTACAACGAAAGTGGACGTCTTCAGCTTTGGGATGGTTCTGATGGAAGTTTTGACAGGCTTAACTGCGCTCGACGAACGTCGTTCAGAAGAGAGGCGATATTTGTTGGATTGGTTTTGGAAAATGAAAGCAGAGAAAGAAACTCTTCTGGCTGCCATCGATCCAACTCTTGAACCAAAAGAACAAATCTATGATAGTATTTGTATAGTCGCAGAGTTGGCTGGACATTGCACATCAAGTGATCCTAACCATCGGCCCGAAATGGGGCATGCCGTTAATGTTTTAGCTCGACAAGTTGAGACATGGAAACCTGTGGAGCATTCGAATGATTGTCCTGCCATTGATTTGTCTTTGCCTCTTCCTCAGATGTTAAAGATTTGGCAAAATGAACGGACCGAAGATTTCAGTTACCTAAGCCCATACAGCAAAGGGAAAAACAACAATGCTAGATGAATTTTTGAGACCTCTTTTTCAAATTTCAAGTTTGAAGAAAGTTCAGCCTCATTCTCCAACAATCCTCAGGGGCGTGTAGTCGGTGTAAGAAGGTAATTAGAGGGATGCCATGCACATCGGTCCAAGGAAATTGCTATTTTAACAACAGGTTTGACACCATTGATGACGCTACTATGTCTCAAGCATACAGGTACATACGATGATTGTCTATGCATGATGTATGTTTTTGAGAGACAGTGGTGTCATCAATGGTGTCGAACATGGTGTCGCCATAGCATGGTCCATCAGTCTAATGCTACATGTGTTTACGCGCATTATACAGGCGCTCCAGGTCAGTTGATGACAACAATTATTGAAGTAGAGTTAATTACAAAAAAAGGAAGAAGAACGAGTCATTAATTGATGAGACATGATCAAATTATCGTATATAAAACGACAAATTAAAAAAAACTGATAAATCTTCCCCTGTTTCCATTCCTAAGTCTGTATGATTTGGTGCTGGAGTCATCTGAAGGGGTTCTGACATCTTGTATATGGGAATTTTTCTTTGTGACCATTCATTCATGCTTATCTTTGTGGGTAAAATTTGCTATATACATACATATACTTATGTCTCCTAGGGGTTTTGATTGGTTGGGTGGATAGTAGATGCAACTGGCAAATTCTATATTCTTTCTTTTGTGATGAATGAAGGCTTCGGTCTGAGTAGCGATAAGGTTTGCGTACATATTTTCTCCTCAAACCTTACTTCCCGGCGGGTTTTATCGGGTTTGTTGTTTTGATGTATGAAAGATTCAAAAAGGGTGGTGTGTGAAGGTTTATGTGAGATTGGTTTTTGGTTTTGTAACATGAAAATGAAGAGTTCTTGTCTATTTGTCACGTAGTACAAAAATAATGTCACACACCACTTGTAGTGCCTTATGACAACCTAAGTTGTAGGGAGAAGAATGCGGCCAAAAGCTAGAAAATACTAATTTTTTCAAATTTTACAAAGAAAATTTTTGATGTAGTTTTTAAATACTCCCTCCGTTCTACAAAACTCTTCCTCTTTCGTTTTTTTGTTTTCCACAAAACACTTCTAATTTCTATCAAAAAACTACTTTTACCTCTACTTTTTCATACCCTACCTATCACATCATACTTTTTCACTATTAACCAAACTATGACATATTACTTTTTCCCATCATATCAAGGACAAAATTGGAAAGTCAACTAAAATTACACATTCCTTATTTTTGCACTAAGTCAAAATGGGAATGGTTTTGTTGAATGGAGGGAATATAAATTTTATTTTTTTAATTTTACACCTAGAATCAAATAAATTGAATTGAAAATAAAGTCGGTCAAATCTCGTAAACATAAACAAGAAGAACATTATAGGATGGAAGGAGTAAGATGTATATGGTCACTGGAACATGGGGTGGGATAAGGCCATAAGGGCTTGTTTTCTTTATCTGATCTGTTTGGTTCTAATTTAAATTTATTAAGTTCTGATCTGATTTGACATGATTTGAATTTATCTTATCTTATCTAAATGTAGTAGAACTTAAATCTATGATTGATCTGATTTGAACTTATGTGATCTGATCTGGTCAGAATTTATTTGATCACATCTGATTCAAACAAGAATATGTAATAACTAGAAAAAATAAAGCTGAAGGAACAAACTGTATGAGAGTGTTTGGCACTGCAGTGCTTTTCTATTTGGTATACCGATTTTCGCTTTTCTTCATCAACATTTTGCACCTTCACCCCCTTCAATTACACCTTCAAATTAATTAGCTTTGAGGATCCATTTATATTTTTAAGTTCAATACATTTACTACTCAACTATATATGGGTTATTGGTGATAAGAGAATGGAAGGTGGCGGACACCATCTGCCATTTCACACGTTCCTCTCTTCTCAAGCTCTCACTAGCAACTAATGTGATGAAACCAAACAAGCCTTACCAATTTAAGGCATGTTCTTCGTCTCAATTTATTACTCTCTCATTTCATCTGAATGTTTCTCATTTAATCTATTTAATCTATACTAATTATTGATCTAATTTTAAATAGAGATGTTTTTGATCTGATTCAAATCGAAGTACTTCATAAGTAATAAGAATAAGATTATCGTGAAAGTGTGCAAGCGTTGCTCGCGTTAAACTTTTTATTTTTGTTAATTTTGTAGAATTCAAACTAGACAAGAATACATTGGTCGGAGATGGCGTTCTTCTTCCATCCCGAAATAAGGTTTCACAACTAATCGTACATACTTAGTTATTAATAAAACTAAAAGTTTATAGTCGTGTTATGTGCCGGAGAGAAATATTATGTGAAACGCATAATATGTTCTCAAAATGTGATATAATTTTTTCCGAGACTAACAACAAGAAATGTGGAACCTTTTTACAAGACGCGTGAAGTACACCCTTCGTCTCGAAAATTCTTTCATGTAGAAGATTCCGGAGTGTGATGTAAGATTAAAATTATTTTCTACTCCATATTTAATCTTTACAAATGCTAGTTTAAAATAAAAAATAAAATTTACTCGGTATATATTTAAAAATAATATCAAAAGTTTTATAAATTAGAGATAACAAATTACATTTCTTTTGACACATTCCAATTGGGTTCACCTTTTGTGTATCTCCATTACGTCCAAGGTGAATGTTTGCTTGTGGAGAACGAGCCAAGGTATCCTGATCACGATTAGTGCCCTTAATCGTAGAGGAATGGAGTTGAAAAATGTTTGTGCCTTTATTAAACGAGTCGGTACGGTTCGAGCCACAAGTCAATCTTTTTTTATCCCTTAATATTCACGATCGAGAATAACATACATTTATCTTACTAATTTTTTTATATCTGATAGACTTTACTAATTTTTTTTGTAAGTACTTTCTCCGTCCCTGGAAACCTTTCTGCTTTCTTTTTTCATCTGTCCCAAAAAACATTTCTAATTTTTATTAAAAAGTTACTTTTACCTCTTACTTTTTTACACCCTATCTATCAGATCATATCTTTTTACTAATAATCTACCCATCAAATCATACTTCTATCCATCACTTCAAAAGATTTTCTTGGAAATTCAATACCAAAATATACATTTTTTAAATCTATTAAATAATCAATAGGTCCCATGTTTTTAGGACGGGAGGGAGTAACATTTTAATACTCCCTCCGTCCCAAATTATTTGTCACATTTCTATTACCGAAACAAAATATCAAGTTTTTTCAATTCATTTTATTTACATATTGGTAAAGAAATAAAAATAAAAATTACATATCAAAAAGCTACATGAAAATTCTTCAAAATAAGAAGTGTCAAGAATATTTTATTTTATCAAATAACCAATAAAAACATAGAAATAAATAAAAATTCCTACTACTGCTGAAAAAGCCTAACAAATAATTTGGGACGGAGGGAGGGAGTAGTGAGGAAAGAAATTTCATGGGACCAAGATAGCATTAATCAATGCTAGAAACCCAATTGACTTCCCCAAAACATCATCCTAAACTTGCCATTAATCTTTCATCTTTCTTCCCTTGTAGCAAGAAGAAGAGTGACCCCTGACCAGTAACTTAACCCACTACCTACCCAAAATGAGTCCCGTAATGCAAATCTCTCACTTCAATCACTATTGTACTGGCAAAATATCACTAACATGAAAGCAGATTGATCAATTCGGAGCTGGGACAACTGTTTCTTCCAGATCCTCTCCAGGTATAATAGATCCAACCAGGAAAAAAACAAGAACATAAGACCTAAAAAAAACACACCCACATGCCCCTCCCTAAAGCAAGCCTGTCATTTTCCCTGCCTTAAATGACAGCCTTAAAGAATAATAGGAACAGGAATAGGGATACCCAGATCAGAAAAGGGTCGGTTCTGCAAGTGGGCTGCGGATTCTGTGGTGGATCCGAGGAGGAATAGAGTGGGTTTTGACTGATTCTGTTGGTTTGTTCGGTTTCTTGAAGTTTCTGGAAGTGTGGGGATTTGAGAGGGAGTCAAGAATGGATCAGTATGAGATTATGGAGCAGATTGGAAGAGGAGCATTTGGCGCTGCTATATTAGTTCATCACAAGCAGGAGAAAAAGAAGTATGAATCTTTCTTTGTTTTCTTGTCTTCTTATGGGTTTATGATCGTTTTGAGGTTTTTCTCTTCCAAGAATTGATGTTTTTTGTTTTGTTTTCCTGTTAAATGGTAGATATGTTTTGAAGAAGATCAGGTTAGCTCGGCAGACTGAGCGTTGCAGAAAATCTGCTCATCAGGAGGTTAATTTTTTGTTTTGTTTTGTTTATGCATCCTAACTTTGATTCTGTTTTGCTTTTGTTTTTTAATAATATCTTCTTGAAATAGTTAATTTTGAAAAAAGGGGAATGTTTTATTTACTCAAACTGTCTGCTTCTATGTGTGAAACAAATGTCAAAGCAAAAAAAAAAAGATTCCATGATTGTAATAATCAAATTAGCAGATTAACTAGCTCCTCACCAAATGCCTTAAAAAAGCAGATTTGGTCAAAATAACACTTAACACATACCAAACATAGCCATTAATCTTAATGAGTTTTTTCCTTTGTCATTTATGGCTGCCTCAGCTCAAGAGACATATATACATGTCATTGTATGAAGATACTTATTCATGTGGGATTTGTACATGTTCAAACTTTGGATTTGTAGATGGCATTAATTGCAAGGATTCAACATCCATACATTGTTGAATTCAAGGAAGCATGGGTGGAGAAGGTGAGACTAACCTTGGACCAAATTGAACTACTGATTTTCTCTCGAGCTATCGTCACACCACCGATGACACCAAGGTTTACGCCGCTAGTATCTCAAAGACAATAACCACTAGTCTCAACATTGGTGTCATCCATGGGGTTAAATCAGCGTTTTCCTTTATCATATGGTATAAGACTTGTTTAGCTAAAGTTCATATATGTCAATTATCGTGCAAACTCTAATGCAGGGCTGCTACGTTTGTATTGTTACGGGCTACTGCGAAGGAGGTGACATGTAAGTTTATACAAACTATTTTTCTGTTTAGTTTGAATAATACTTTTCTCTTTGTTACTAAAAAGTATTCAAGTTTCTTTTTTGGTCAAACTTTTATAGTGCTGAATTGATGAAAAAGGCAAATGGACAGTATTTCCCAGAAGAGGTATGCTGTAGAT